TAGAAATAACATAGGAGATACTTTGCTTTTAATTCATCAAATTGGTACACTTTGCAAAAGCTTGATTATGAGCACTATCAACGAGCCTGACATGATCTTTCAATGTATTTTTGTGCTTCCAATCCCTAAAGTCGATCTTAGTGAAAATATGTCCACCCCATTGATCCCCTCTATCATGTTTAAACAAATAGCAATGCAAACAATAAGCCGCATCATTTTCTATACTGTACTCCAACCATTAAAATTCAGAAAACTATTCTTTTCGAAAATACCTATTATCATTTTCTATCCGTCTTCTTGGAAAGTCATGTCCATGTGGTTGACAATGACCTTTTTTCAAATATGTCATCCTAACATCATCTCTGATATTAGGATCATATGACTCGATGGGGGCATTTTCCTGGATCAGATACAAGATCATCCATATTGGATTAAGTTCGAGACTTCTTTATGTTTTTTTTAACAACTCGAGTGCTCGGCTAGAGGCAACGGCAGGACTAGAAGCACAACTAGAACTAGGAGAATTAGGTATAGACTTTCGTTTCGATTGAAAAAATCGTTTCGTAATCTACAAAATGCCCCAATTTAATTTTCAATTACAGTCGATTAAAAAATCAACAATTCAACCAAAAAATCCCCAAGAGTTAGAGAGCAGTGTATTAAAAAAATCAAACACTAGAAAATTAGTCAAAGCTGTTACATCTATAGTTGGTAGGTTGGCCATCTATGTCAATTTGAATACTCAAACAAGTCAAAAACAAATAAATGCTTGAAGTATTAGAAGCAACAAAATTATTAGATACGACACAAATGAAAGACTGCCAATTTTTCGCACATCTTAATGCCAGTTAGTGAAATTCTGTAAAATAGTCCGAATTCAATTTGTAAAAGCAAACCAAAACCACTGCCATCCAACTGAAAATATAGACTACGAAAATTCAATAATTAACAAAAGATTTTTCAACCAAACTTGGTCACAATTGGAAACCTAACAAAGAGATGATTTCACTAATTCTTAACAAAATATAAGCAAGTACATCCACTTTTTTATCGACAGCTTTAGTCATGCATGTTTGGCTAAGCTAAAAATTTACTTGCATCAGTTACATGTTAATAACGAGAAGCTGAGAAGGAATTGGAAAAGAACTCACAAAGGGTTTGCTCTTACCTCTTCTCTGATCTCTCTGGGCTCTGGCTATCGGTTTTAAAGGGAAGGAAATTGGAAACGAGATTGATTCTGGAAAGGAAAGCTTGCTGCCTGCTGGTCGCTGGTGCTCTGTCGTCTGTGATCTGCCCTCTGTTGGTGGTAGTGGACTAATTTTTAGGGAAGAATCTGGTTGTGCGTTATATGGAGAATGCTCATTTGGGCTTTTTTAATTTGGACTTGATTAAAAAAAGAAAAAAATAGAGGCCTAACACAAAATCTGAAACTGCAATTGCGACCCAACAGCCAACAGCTAACTAAATCTGAAAACAAACCACTCCCGACGGCCGGTGGTTCCGGCGAAGCTAGCTAGGGCGGCCGCCCTAACTGGCCAATAGCTACATTCACCACTGTCGATCACTGAACTTTGCGAAAGGTTTTTAGGAGTTCATTGAATTTCAAAAGTTTCCATATTAATCACCGAACTTTACAAAATGTAATCCCATTTATCACTAATAACATCAAAAGTTTTTACGTTAGTCACTGAACTTTAGAAAATGTAATTCCATTCATCACAACTTTTGAAATTCGGTGACTCCCTGAAAACTAGCAAAGTTTAGTGAACAATCCAGTAATTAAGCAATCTTTGTTTTTTTTAGCCTTTTCTTTTTCTTTTGTTGTACTTATATCCCATAATATTATTCTCTTTAATATCGTCAAACTTAGAAAAAAGAATACCATTTTATTTGGGATAACCGATAAGGTTATTTGTTGACATCTCTAAAACTAAAGAGGCAGCAAAGGACAATTACATGGGCTGTTTCAGCTTCAATCGTCTTTTCATCGGGATACACTTGAATAAAAAGCATAAATTTATTAGATTCTTAGTTGAAGATATGTATAATTTCAAAGATGAAGACTATTATGTGATTAATGCCAAATGGGTTCTCTTCCAAAATAGTTGACTGCATGGACTTCTATTGTCCCTTTAATCTTAGAGAGGTTAACAAACAACCATGTCAGTTAACCACAGGTTAAAGACTGTCCTTTTTTCTAAGTTTGAAGATGCAAGAGAGAATAAAATTGTAGGGTGGGAATATAGAGAAGAGAAAGAAAACAACTAAAAGATATATAAAGATTGATAAATTACCTGATTAGTCATTGAACTTTGTGTAAGGTATTAAGGGGTTATTAAACTTCAAAAGATTCCCCATGAGTCATTGAGCTTTACAAAATGTAAGAAGATGTCTTATATATGTAATGTCCAGTGACTAATGAGAATTTTTTTGAAATTTAATGACCTCTTGAAAACCTTACGTAAAGTTTAGTGAGCAATCATGTACCTACCCCTCCTTTATACCCTTGTCAAATGTAAATATGTAATATCCTTTTATCATTAATATAAAGAATTTAAAACTAGGATATTTTCTAGGAAAATACAATTAATTAAGAAAATAATATTCAAAATACAAGGGTTTTAGTTTTCCCCTCTTAAATAGGTTGGCTCTTTAAAATATACTGTTAAAGACTTAATAATATTATTTTCAGTACAAATATATTTTATTCCGTGACGTTAAAATAAATATTACCTAACTTTTTATGATATACCTTCTTGCCAGGTGCTCAAAATAATCAGATGTTAAATTGCTAGTCTGTCAAATCAAATATTTTTTTGTGTGTTGATCTTTATCGTGGTGTTTATTTTTACGTTCCTCAATTCTATCCTATTTAGTCAATATACAAAACCCGTACTTTAATGTCTTATGACAAACTGTACAAACAACAAATCTAAAGAGTGGAGTGAAAAACAACAAAGAAAAACCCTGCAAATTGGCATGCTTTAATTCACAGGAAAAATTATCTATTATTAGTAATTAATAAATTATAAATTTTCGTTTGAATGAAAATGATCTCTTGTCCGTATTGGATAGAATAAAAATTTCCACTGCTGAAGTGACCAGAACTTTACGTATAGTTCTTTAGTCTTTGTTTGTCAACTATTCTATAATATATTTTTTAAATACTCATTTTCAACCACATATTCTTTATTAAAATAGTATTGCATCTAAATAATTTTTTTTTATCATATATTTCAATATCAATCACTATTTCATAATATACTTTTTGAAATTAAAAGCCCTTATAACCATTTTGATATGGGTACCGATGCGCGCACACACATAGACTCCTTCCCATGCATTTAATCCAGTCGATGATACATCCTTTTCATATTTGAAAAAGAAATGGAAGAAAACGAAAAAATGGTTATCTCAGTCAACTTTGTCAGCACTAGGCAAACTATTCTATAATATTTTTTTTAAGTACTCATTTTCAACCACATATTCTTTATTAAAATAGTATTATATCTAAATAAATTTTTTTTAATCATAAATTTCAACATCAATCACTATTTCATAATATACTTTTTGAAATTAAAAGCCCTTATAACCATTTTGATATGGGTACCGATGCGCGCACACACGTAGACTCCTTCCCATGCATTTAATCCAGTCGATGATACATCCTTTTCATATTTGAAAAAGAAATAAAAGAAAACGAAAAAATGGTTATCTCAGTCAACTTTGTCAGCACTAGGCAATATTTTCTAGGAGTTTGTGATAGTCAACAAAATGACATAAGAACCTACAAATGCTAATTGCTAATCAATCAACTCTAAAATCTACTAATGATCCGTTTAATTGTAAAAATAAAATAGAATTGAATTGAATTGAAAATAAATTTCAAGAAATTGAATTGTCTAAAAATTATTTTCTTGAAAATTGTAAATTATTGTGTTTGATTGGTATAATTTTTCACGTGAAAAATGTTGAAATAAAAAGTGTTTTTGTTGTTCGTTTAACTTTATTTTACATGAAAATTGTCAATTAAAGAGATAGAATTTACTGGTGTTGGGGATGAAATTTATTTCCATTGCAAAAAAAATTTTTTTTAAGAAAATCATCTATCTTTTAGTATTCGTTTGACTTTGTTTTCTATAAAAATTGTCAATTAAAGGGAAATATTTTTTTACAATAATTTTTATAATTTGTTAACTTAGCCAACAAAAAAAAAATGTTACAGTAATCGAAAAACCAATTCCCACCATAAAACCAAGAAAATACCAATTCCCAATACAAGCAAGAAAATACAATTCCATAAAAAATAAAACATATCAAATGCACAAAATTGGAAAAAGCTGGAATTCGAATTCCATTTTCCATAGAATTTGAACCAATCAAACAGGCGCTAATAATAACTAGCTTAGCAACTTTTTGTATCCTTGGGTAGAACTTCCAAGTTAACGATTAAATAAAAAGACCTAATATTATGCATATGCTACTCAACCTATTCGAAAAATAATGACTATGATTACAATTTTTCCAGTTGTAAAAAACTTCAAATAGTCTAAACCATTCCTGTAGGGCAAAGGACACAAATAGTTCTTATTTAGAATGCATATTTTTAACGATAGCTTTTCTACTCTTAATAATTTAGCTCTCGTTTGAACCCCCCCCCCCTCCCCCTTTTATGGAAATGAAAATAGGTGGAATAATATTTTTTTAAAAATAAGTAGTTGAAAAAGAAGGAAATTTTTTTGATTTACGTGTAATATTATTTTATGAAAGTTTGTGTTATTGAAAATAAGAGAGAAAAATGGAATGTAATGAAATAAAATATGCATAGGCCGATAGACGTATTCTAAAAATTATTTATTTTTTTTTCTCATGCAGAACGTTTAATGAAACAAATCAACCAACTAAAATAATCAAATAAAAGCCAAAGACATCCTTCATCCTTGTGCATTATAAATAAGGGAAACTCTGAACCCAAAACAAGTTCCACTCTCCTGGATTTCTTTCCTTCTTCAGACACAATTTATACAAAATGCAGGCTCTTTTTAGTCACCAGCTCGCTTATTCTTCACTGGTGTCTCATATAAAATTGTCGTCTCCAATACAGCAAACTCTGCCACTGCAACATGTCACAAGTAAAACTTTCTTCCATTATTCTTATTCCTCTTACTCTTTTCATTCAAGCATAAATGGTGATTTAGCTTTGAAATCTTATTTTTAATACTTTTTTTCTTCATACAAGCATCAATTGTTGTTTTCGTAGCTTTTGCTCGAAGGTTTTTCCAGGGTCATATGATGAGTTTTTCTTCCGATAATTGTATATTGACAGACTATTTATTTGACTGTTATAGAAAATCAATACAGAAAAGCAAAGTTTCAGAAGAGTTATGCTACATTAACAGGCCAACATGATTAATGACAGGGGGCCAACTGGACCCCTGTGATGGCGGGAGAAACTATCACGAACAGGTCGAAGTAATGCTATTTATCATCATGATGATAGAACATTGATGATGTGACAATCCATTATCCATTTTATTTCTCTCTCTCCTGATACCTCTTCTCCTCCCCCTCTCTCATAAAAATAGATCTGTGCAATCCCTTTATTCCACATAAACTGTTACAACACCAATGTTCCATCATCATAATAATAAATAACATTATTCACAGGTTCAATTAACATTATTCGTTTCATAAAATCTATAACTAATTTGTCTGTATTTGTTCATACTTTTCTAAACCAGTCGAACTTTCTCCTTCCACAAGCAAATTATTTTATGAATTCCCCTTGGCGGGGAAATTTTAATTTTCGTACACGTTAAAATATAGAATCTTTTATTTATTTATAATTAATTGTTTAATTAGTGTAGAATCTTTCCATTGATAGTTATTTGTAACTCTACAAATTCGATATTTTCTTTGTTTTCGTGAGACGGTATAAAATTTCTACTATTTTTGTGATATTTTTTCTCAAACATATGTGACTCATTTAACTATCTAATTAATATTTTTTAAATATATGCTGTAGGACATTTCCTGTCTGGGACAATCGATATACAAGTACATAGCTTAAATCACAATATCCATGATAAACACTTGCTCAACGTTGCAAGTCGAGGTATGTAAATTTGAGATGAATAATTATTTGAAAGAGAAGCCAATATTTTTGTATCCAAATGTCAACAGAATATTCATCCTTGATTACAGATAGAGATATTAATCCATCACAAGTACTCGAAAAAGATGGCTTGGAAGAGGAAGCCGTTAAGGTGTTATAATATAAAACTTTTAGTTTATATTCATTGTAGTCTTAGATTTTAAAACTTTTTTACCAGAAAAAGCTTCACCATCTGGATGTTTTATGATTTAATGTGTTTTTTGTGAAGGCAAATGAGATGCAAGATCAAATTGAATGTATTAGAGAAATGCTGGGTACCATAGGAGAAGGACGAATGAAAGTCTCGCCCTATGACACAGCATGGGTTGCTCTCGTTCCGGCTCTTGATGGAGATGATAGGCCCCAGTTTCCCGGAAGTCTTCGATGGATTGCAGATCATCAACTATCTGATGGTTCATGGGGTGATGAGCTCGTATTCTTATCATATGATCGTCTCCTCAACACTATAGCATGTGTAGTTGCACTAAGAACATGGAACATTCATCCCGATAAGAGTGCAAAAGGTTTGATATTGTGGCTCTTACTTAGGGAAAGACATTATTTATAAAATTTTATAATTTTAAAATACTAACTCACATGCAAATTGGACTCATTTTTTAATTAGAAAGTTTGACGTGTGCACAATTCATAAATGGACGACGGCAAATCTAACTTTGATTCCATATTAAAATGCCATATTTAAAAACTTAAAATGTTAGAGGTGATACAAATTCTGCAAAAAAATAAAAATAAAATAAAATAATAATAAAAAAATTGAATTGCATAATAGGACAGTGATCAAAGAAATATATATACTTGACACGTCGTAGTGTTTTTGTTTTAGGAATAACATTTATCAAGGAAAACATACATAAACTTCAAGATGAAAATGAGGATCATATGCTCTGCGGATTTGAAGTTGTATTTCCGGCGCTTCTCCAAAAAGCCCAAAACTTGGGCATTGACAACATTCCTTTTGATGCTCCGATCATGAAGGAGATTTATGCAGCAAGAGACAGAAAGTTGAAAAGGTAACATTTCAATATCAAATTAATCTACGAGAAAATGTAAAATTTTATGGACAAATTACAAAGTTGCCACACGTACATTCATCTCCTTTTTATACATTATTACTGAATTATGAATATCAATTCGAACTATCAAAATCGCGGTTAATCGAATCGAATGTGGTAAAAAAAAATCGAACCAATGGCGCAGTGGAGTGAATATGGTGTTTGATTTTAATGCCTCGATTCGTAGTGTGACGGGTATGGTATTTACGCCGTCGCCTCACCCCGAATTGATTACCCGTTAAAAAAATAATTAAATAGGCAATTGAGCTTTTCATTATTCTTTCTATGATTCTGTCCAGTCCAAAATTCTGGTCCATCACCTTGCGGGGTCCCACTGAAATTTGGGTTCAAAGTTAACCCATTTCATTTTCCAACAATTTTTAGCTACAGGTTTCTACAATTTTTGAAAAAGTTGGAGGTGCCTCCATAATAATCATTTAAATCTTGAAGTATCTGTAATTTTCTGTTCAAAAAGAAAAAATAGAAAACTATCTACTTGACACGATAGTTATTCTATTTGATAGGATACCAAAGGATCTCATGCACAATGTACCAACAACTCTACTGTATAGTCTGGAAGGACTACAAGATTTGGACTGGGAAAAACTCTTGAAGTTGCAGACACCATTAGGATCCTTCTTAACATCTCCAGCCTCCACTGCATTTGCACTTATACAGACTAAAGATGAAAAATGCTTCCGATATCTGGAAGATATCGTCAAGGAATTTCAAGGAGGAGGTACAATCATTTTAGCTCCATCTTTTTTTCAGAGAAAAAATAAATTTACTATGTATATTAAGCTAGGTTTTATGATAAAATAAAGCCTTCATGCTGTAACATTGACTTTGTGAATCTTTCTTTACACTTTAGCGCCTGCTGCTTACCCATTTGATTTGTTTGCACGACTCTGGGCCATTGATCGAGTACAAAGGCTAGGAATTTCCCGCTTCTTCACTCCTCAAATTAAGGATTGCTTAGATCACGTCTACAGGTAATTATACAAATTTAGGGATTTTCATTTAGTGTCATTAAGCATGAAATGAATCACTTTAATGCCTATATACTTTTAATGTGAATGCTATTTTTATTAAGAGAATTAGAACTTATTAGTATCTAACTGCAAAATTTAGGGAATTATGTCTTGGATATGAAAACATCATCTAAAATAGTGACAAGGGCTCGAACAAGTAAATCCAAGAATCATTGGACATAATGTTGCATTTAAAAGAAAACCAATAAGAAATCAAAAAAAGAAGAAAAATGGCGCTGTGCTGTTTGGCCACACACATGGTATAGTGCGCATGCTCATCTTAACAAAAATCGAAGAAAAACCCATGAACCATGCGCGTGCATGGGCCTGAAAGCCTGCCAAGTTTGTTTTTTGGTGACTTTTCATGAAAACAATCTGATGCTTCGTGAATTATTGGCTTTGTTTCATGAGATATAAATTGAAATCTATATATAGGTAATGGATTTCAATTATATACACAAAAAGTCATCAACTTAAAATCATTATATATTGGCTTTAATCAAATTCTTTTACATATTCAAACTCTTTTTGTGTTCTTCAAGTTCTTGGAAGAAAAACACAAATTCTTAAGTGTTTTCTTCTTTAAAGCTTGTTAAATCCTACAATCCATTTTTCGTGAGTCCATTTAATCATTAAAATAAATTCTAAAGGGAACAAATATCGTGTGGACCTATTGCATTGCATGAAAATGGAAAAAAAAAACATTAAAAAAGAGGCTCTCTTGTGATTTGGAATGAAGCTTTTTCGATGGAGAAAAGGAATTGCTATCCAAGTACGATCATAGCTTCATTTGTTTCATTGAACCTTGGGGATAACCATTAAAATTGAGGTCAATCACCACACCACCTCTATCATATGTACACCACAACATGAATTGAAAGTAGATGGTCAACACGCAACTAAAGTTCCAACACGGCTCGAATGCCTTTATGCTAGGCTGTGTTAAACATGCTTCTTTGACAGAAGACAAACTGTTTTTCTTAGGACAATGATTACGTTCCCAAGTCTCATGTCCAGTTTTCGGTGTTCTTGCTGCTACATTTGTACTCTTCTCCCATCCTTCCATATTTTGATCAACAATATCAAATGACATTCATGGATAATGAGACAACCGTGGTCACCATCAAACTCATGAATCAAGATCTTGTAAGTTTGGATCGATTTGATGGAACAAACTTTACCCAACAACAAGACAAATTAAAGTTCATTCTAACAACATTGAAAATCTTCTATATTCTTGATTCGGACTTGGTACTACTATCAGAATCAATAGATTGGAGACTCAAATGTTGTATGCTAAGAGGGTGAATTAATTTGTAGGGTCACATTCTCAATGCACTTTCAGATAAATTATAAGATTTTTCACCATCACAACTTCGGTGAAGAGATTTGGGATGCATTGGTAAATAAATACAAAGTCAAGAAGGAATGTACGAAGAAAATCCTAATATCAAGGTATTTTGACTCTAAATTTCTAGAGAACATTTCCTACTTCTCGAAGTGCACGAATTACAAGTGCTTGTTAACAAATTGAAGGTGGTGAAAATAGAACTTCTGAATTCTTTCAAGTGAGAACAATCATTGCAAAACTCCCAAGAATTTGGAAATGATATTGAAAAAAGATTATTCTTTGGGACAAGTTCAAACAATCTCCAGGCTAAGGAAGAATCGAGTGCAAGACATAAAAGTGAAAATTTTTATGTACGTACTTCAAAAGCTAATACCTTAGAAAAGATTGAGTCATCTAATAAATAAAATAATAAAAAATCTTTTAACCAGGATAACAAAAAGTTCAAGAAAAAGCCCAAAGGTGATTGTTTCATGTATGGGAAACCTCTAACACTTTGTGCAAAAGATTGTCGATAATGAAAACAAAATAAGAATGGAGGCAATATAAACTCCATTGACAGAGATAATATTGTGATTACCGTGAGCATATTCACTACTATCAAGGGTAAAATTCCTGATTTGTGATATATATGATACATGTGAACTATTCATGTATCATATGATAAGTCATTTTTCAAGATTTATCACGAGTTGAATGTGAAAAAGAAATATAATTCGATAATGAAGGCCACTTTAAGTGGTTGGGAAAGAAAATATTGATATTATCTTCACTTACAATAAAATAGTTAACACATATATTACAAGTTCCTACCATGAACAGGAACTTGGTGAGTGAAAATATTTTGGGAAAATGGGCATCAAGGGTGTTTATTAATTTAAAAAACTTGTATATCCCGAAATGAAAAATTTGCTGGAAAAAGGCTATTCTTGTGAAGAAATAGTCAAATTATGTACCATTAACAATATTAATAATAATAATTAAAAAAGAAAAAGAAGTTGCATGCTTGATTCTTTTACATTATGAGATGCTAGATTATGTCACATGGGTGTTAGTACTATAAAAAGAATGCTTAAATATGACATGATTGCTTATAATGTGAATGACGCTTATAAATGTAAAACTTGTACAAAATCTAAAATGATAAATAAGCATCACCGTAATGGGAATAGGATTTTACAAATTTTAGAACTTATTCATTTAAATATATGTGAATTGAATGACAAGTTAATTAGAGAATGAAATATGTATTTCATTACATTTATTTACGATTATTCTAGATATACACATGTTTATTTAATGAAACATAAATATGAAGCTTTTGATATATTTAAAACTTATAAAAAAGAAGTTGTACATCACTTGACCAAGAAAATAAAAATGCTTAGAAGTTATAGAATTGTGAATATTTTTATAATGATTTTAATTAATTTTGTTAACAACAAGGTATAATACATTAATATTCTGTCCAAGGATACTCGAACAAAATGATTTGGCTGAAAGAAAAAATAGAACATTGGTTGAAATGATATGTGCCATGTTAACTTATATTAAGTTGTCATTTAACTTATAGGGTAAAGTATTATTGAGTGCATGTAGAATCATAAATAGATTTTCTTCAAAATTCATAAAGAAAACTCCTTATGAGTCGTGGAAAAGAAGAAAATCAAATGCTGGATATTTTAAAAGTGTGGGGTATCTTACTTAATGTAAAAACACGGACCCTAAAAGGATCAAGTTAGGTCCAGGAGGCATAAAAAGTGTTTTTGTTGGATATGTAATAGTAAATACTATATATTACTAAATTTGAAGAGCAATGTGATAATTGAATGAAATGACGTGAAATATTTTGAGAATTCACTATATTCAGATAATGACTTAAGGAAAACTCATAGAGAGATTCTTAACTCTAGCGGAACACAAGAGATAACATCTCCTAAAGATGTAGATGAATCTAATGGGCCTCCAAGAAGCAAAATAACATGAAAAGAAAACACATTAGGACCGGATTAAATAAATTCTCAATTCATTTCACTTTATTTAGTAGAGAAAAATGAGAAGAATAAGGTTAGAACAATACATTTTGTTCTACAAGTGGAAATCAATCCTAAGACTTCAAACACGTGTGTTAATAGTTTATATATGTAATCTATATACTTTTTGTTCAAGAACTATATGGATGAGAGAATTGGATATATATTAAAGGAAAAGGTAAATCGACGAGAAATGAAAAAGCAATGGAAAAATGGTGATGGGCCATTTGAACACGTGCATGTATGGGATAGAGCTATATGTGCACATGACTTGTCTCAGCAAAAGTCGAGGCGAAAACTCATGAATCATGTGTGCACATGGGCCTGCGAGCCTATGTACACAACAAATCACCAACTTAGAATCATTAAATAGTGTCTTTGATTAAATTCATTTACATATTTCTTTTTTGTGTGTTTTTCAAGTTCTTTGAAAAAAAAAAAATAAAAGCATTTAAATGTTTTCTTCTAAATGCTCATTCAATCCTACAAACCATTTGCTGTGAGTCCCTTTTAGCACTAAAAGCAATTCAAAAGGAGACAATTATAGTTTGAGAACAACGACTATACTTTCAAATCTTATTTCCAGTTTTTTGTGCTCTTGTTGCTACATTTGTTCTCTTCTCCCATTTTCCATGTTTTGTTCAACATATAAACAATATTGATTCGTCTCACGAACAAACGAATATAATTTCAGTTATTCTTCTTAAAAATTTGTCTTCATATTATAATTAAAACTACAAAAAGGTAGATGGATCATGGATGAGATTTAGAATGGATAGAACTAGTACGAGAATAAACTATTAGTAATCCAATTCTAATTTGGGAATTATTTTAAATACAGATATTGGACAGAAGATGGAATCTTTGCTGGAAGATTCGCAAGATTTTCTGATGTTGATGGGTCATCCATGGGGTTCAGGCTCCTAAGATTGCACGGATACAAGACTACGCCTGGTATGTAAGATAAATATTAGACAGTATTTGATAGCGTTAAAAATAATTATAAAAGAATTTTTTTTTTTTACCAGATTACTTACCAATGCACTGGATTGTTTTAATTTGGCAGATGTGTTGAAGCAGTTCAAGAACCATGACAAGTTTTCTTGTTTTGCATGTCAAATGATTGAGTCACCAACCCCAATATACAATCTCTATAGAGCCTCACAAGTTCAATTTCCAAGAGAAAAAATTCTAGAAGAAGCTAGAGAATTCTCATGCAGTTTTTTACAAGAAAGACTAGCATCCAATAAATTTCTAGATAAATGGGTAATATCAAAGCATCTTCCTGATGAGGTAACTATCGAAATATTACTATAAAAGTGACCATAATAATTTTTCAATTCTGATTTTTTCCCCAAAAAAATAATAATAATAAAATAAATAAATAAATAAATAATATATATATATTCCCATTGTAATTCTAAAATACCAAAAATAAATAAATAAAATGTTGTGAATAACAGATAAGGAAAGGATTGGAAATGCCGTGGTATGCCAGCCTACCTCGTGTGGAGGCTAAATATTATATAGAACATTATGGTGGTGAAGATGATATATGGATTAGCAAGACATTGTACAGGTTATTTAATTTTTTCGTAATTTTTAATTTAGAAATGGTTTAATTTATTACAGTTTTCATTTTTATATATTTTTTTAATTGTTTGTTATAATTATAATTACTTTTGAATAAGACATGTTTTTTGAATCTATTCGTAGGATGCCTGATATCAGCAACAATAAGTATCTTGAGCTTGCAAAATTGGATTTTAATAGATGTCAGGCACAACATCAAAGAGAATGGTATTTTTTGGAAGAGTAAGCACCCTTTTCGCTCGATCTGCTTAAAAATTTACTTATAAGTAAATAAGTAGGTTCGAGGGTAATAATTTTGTTTTATTTGAAGTTGCAAATATATATGAACATAAGCAATTTAATATTAGCTGTTATTTATTGTGCAGGTGGTATGTAAATTTCAAATTGCAAGAACTTGGGATAAGTAAAAAGGACCTTCTTCTTGCCTATTTCTTGGCAGCTGCAAATATAGTTGAGCCAGAGAGGTCAAATGTGAGACTTGCATGGGCTAAGTCTCAAATTATTATTAGGCTAATGACATTTTATTTCACTAGAGAAACTAACACCTTGGAGGAAAGGATTGATTTACTATCGAAATTCAAAAACTTCAAGTGCATAGGAAAAAGGAAAAGGTATTTAATAGCTACTTATAAGTTTTATGAATCCACAAAAATGAGTAGAGTCCAGCATTTTGGTTTCAAGTACAACAAAGAATTGGACATTATATTTATAGTAAAAATATTTTAACTTTTTTCCTTTTCTTATGGACAGCTATAAGACTGGACGAAGAATACTTGATATTCTATTAAAAACCCTTGACCAACACTCTATAGAGACACTGGAAGAGCATGACAAAGACACCAGCCACAAACAGCATTGTGCTGTAAGTTCATTATTATCTCCTAAAATTTGTATTCAACATGATCGTTTGCTTTGCCCATATTTGATTCATAGTTTTGAAAGACCTCACACCGAAATAATTTTTATAAATGATGACCCACTTTTGTGTCATATAATGTAGTGGGAAACATGGTTGTCGAAACTAAACAATGAAGATCTTGAATACAACGACGAAGCTGAGCTCCTAGTACACACAATAAACACTTGTGCTGGCTATATGGTTTCTGTGGACATGTTGCAGCATCCAGAATACAAGAAGTTCTCCAAGCTCACAAACAAAATCTGTCATCAGCTTAAAGAATATCAAAATAACAAGGTACATAGCATAAATGCCAATATTATTATTATTAATTTTTTTTTTTTGTGTCGAATACAAACTGAAACTTTTAAAACGATATGTTAATACATCGACATAACTTCATACCACACCTTGCCCATCAAGAATAGTGTTCTTTGACAGCTTTTAGCTGAAGCTCTTAATTCATATTCTGTATTGATTTCATTCGGATGCAATTTATGTATAGGTACATGAAATGGGAAACAGAGACAAAGTAACTCACGGCATCAAATACAAGGAAATTGAAACTGATATGCAGGCACTAGTGCAATTAGTCCTTGAAGAAACCAATGAAATTGATTCAAATATCAAGCAAACATTTTTAATGGTTGCAAAAACTTGTTACTACACGGCCTTCTTTGATCAAGAAACCATTGGTGTCCACATTTCCAAGGTAATTTTTGAAAGTGTGTGACATAGTGATTGGCAAATCTATGTATGAAAATTAGTTAGAAAAAAGTGTTATCTTTTTTGTAAGTTGTATTACTTGCAGTAATAAATAAAGTCTCGGAAATGTAATTTCTAATATTTTCTTTCGTTTTAATTTACTTGTGTTTTCCACCCTAATTCTACATCTACACATGTAAGTTTAATTTAATAGACAACTAGACGGGGTTGAATTTGAATAGGTTGAAAAAATAATTTCAACCAGTGAAATTCCTAATTTAGCTAAAAAAATAAATTCAAAGTGTCTTACTAAAAATTGATAGATGTTTTGCACAGATTAGCATTTGCAAGTTAATGTTCAAAGTAAAATTGTACTATATGAAATTAACATTGAAAAAAAAAAACTTGGGATTTTCATGGATGGTCTAAACTTATTAATATCACGGACTTGTGAACAAGTCTACTAAGAATAGATTGGTGCTATTTTTCTAGAACCATGATCTTCGAAAGTCTAGAAAGCAAATAAGCGATATTCATTGATTTGTGATCTAAAAGAGATTCATATACCTATAATTAAGATGATGATCATGAGTCACAGTAAATAATATTATTCAAAAATAAATAAGGACAAATCTAAAAGGGAAATTTCAGAAATATAAAAGGAAAGGAAGAAATGTAGGGAGAGAATTATGGGTAAGGTGTCTCAAAATTAATACCGTATGAAAACAATGTTTTCCCCACTGGAGTATTAACTCTAAGATTGCAAATGGCTTTTTTGGAAAACACGTTTATAAGATAACAATGTCAGGCTCTAATCTCTCGAGGTCTTGATCGGCTTATCAAGGAGAAGATGAACTTATATGAATCAAGTTGATGTGTTGGAAAAATGTGCTTGGAATATTTTTATATATCTTATATATTGGCTTTCTTAATTGATATTGTTATTTTAATTTTCCAACATTGAGATAAGTCCACAAGTTATGATTGGACTAGTTGTAACAAGTCTCCACTGACACGGATGGTAAGCAGATTCGTCCAGAATATTTGAACTGCGATTTTTACTTTGTTTCCTTGTATATCATGGTCTGATTTCGTGACATATAAGTACAACTCGTATATTTCAGACTTTATATCATCATATAGATTTTTTATTCGGACCATTTTTATTGTAGATCATTAGGTAAGAATTAATTTATTATTTTTTATGATTACTTTACCTATAAGTAAGGTAAGAAATCAAGGTAGAAATTAAGAGGCCGACTTCGTGAAAAGAGGACAAGACGTGATGCTTCAATGATAATCTTAAAGCAAAGGTTTTCTTCGAGCCTTTGAACAATTTAAAAAAAAAAAAAAATTAATTAAACTTTAGTTATGATCCCATCTTTCGATCAAGCTATGGCGTGAAGTTAAGAACGAGACTTCTTAATTCAAGCGGTGGCTTGGATAGAGTACAATAGCGAAGTGGTAACATTTCAATATCAAATTAATCTACGAGAAAATGTAAAATTTTATGGACAAATTACAAAGTTGCCACACGTACAGTCATCTCCTTTTTATACATTATTACAGAATTAGGAATGGCAATTCAAACTACCAAAATCGCGGTTAACCGAACCGAATGTGGTGAAAAAAATCGAACCAATGGCGTAGTGGAGTGAATATGGTATTTGATTTTAATGCCTTGGTTCGTGGTGGGACGGGTATGGTATTTACGCCGTCGGCCCACCCTAAACTATTACCCGTTAAAAAAAAAAATTAAATGGGCAATTGAGCTTTTTATTATTCTTTCTTTGATTCTGTCCAGTCCAAAATTCTGGTCCATCACCTTGCGAGGTCCCACTGAAATTTGGGTTCAAAGTTAACCCATTTCATTTTCCTACAATTTTTAGCTACAGGTTTCTACAATTTTTGAAAAAGTTGGAGGTGCCTCCATAATAATCATTTAAATCTTGAAGTATCTGTAATTTTCTGTTCAAAAAGAAAAAATAGAAAACTATCTACTTGACACGATAGTTATTCTATTTGATAGGATACCGAAGGATCTCATGCACAGTGTACCAACAACTCTACTGTATAGTCTGGAAGGACTACAAGATTTGGACTGGGAAAAACTCTTGAAGTTGCAGACACCATTAGGATCCTTCTTAACATCTCCAGCCTCCACTGCATTTGCACTTATGCAGACTAAAGATGAAAAATGCTTCCGATATCTGGAAGATATCGTCAAGGAATTCAAGGAGGAGGTACAATCATTTTAGCTTCATCTTTTTTTCAGAGAAAAAATAAATTTACTATGTAGATTAAGCTAGGTTTTATGATAAAATAAAGCCTTCATGCTGTAACACTGACTTTGTGAATCTTTCTTTACACTTTAGCGCCTGCTGCTTACCCATTTGATTTGTTTGCACGACTCTGGGCCATTGATCGAGTACAAAAGCTAGGAATTTCCCGCTTCTTTCACTCCTCAAATTAAGGATTGCTTAGATCACGTCTACAGGTAATTGTACAAATTTATTTTACTGATTATTTATGAATTGTATTATATTTTTTATTATTTTATTAAGATTAACATGAGGAAGTCACGTGTGGAAGAAAAGGTTAGAAATTTAGATGTAGACATATTATCTAATTGGAATGTTTAATGTTTAAACCTTTTATTTTTCTTTGTCACTATTATGCCTTGATCATTTGAGAGATAACACTTCATAAAAAAAGAGGGATTTTCATTTAGTGTCATTAAGCACGAAAAGAATCACTTTAATGCCTATATATTTTTTAATGTGAATGCCATTTTTATTAAGAGAATTAGAACTTATTAGTATCTAACTTCAAAATTTAGGGAATTATGTCGTGGATGTGAAAACATCATCTAAAATAGTGACAAGGGCTTGAACAAGTACATTCCAGAATCATTGCACATAATGTTGCATATAAAAAAAAAACCAATAAAAAATTTAAAAAAAAAAGAAGAAGAAGAAGAAGAAAAATGGCGCTGTGTTGTGCGGCCACATATGGGATAGTGCGTATGCTCGTCTTAGCAAAAGTCGAGGCAAAAACTCATGAACCATGCGAGTGAATGGGCCTGAAAGCCAGCCAAGTTTTTTATTTTATTATTATTTTTTTTGGGTGATTTTTCATGAAAACAATCTGATGCTTCGTGAATTATTGGCTTTATTTCATGAGATATAAATTGAAATCCATAAATAGGTAATGGATTTCAATTATATACACAAAAAGTCATCAACTTAAAATCATTATATATTGGCTTTAATCAAATTCTTTTACATATTCAAACTCTTTTTGTGTTCTTCAAGTTCTTGGAAGAAAAACACAAATTCTTAAGTGTTTTCTTCTTTAAGGCTTGTTCAATCCTACAATCCATTTTTCGTGAGTCCATTTAATCAATAAAATAAATTCTAAACGGGATAAATATCGTGCGGACCTATTGCATTGCATGAAAATGAAAAAAAAAAAAAACATTAAAAAAGAGGCTCTCACAAGCACCTAAAGTGGCAACGTAGCTTGAATTCCTTTATGCTAGGCTGCATTAAGCATGCTTCTTTGACAGAAGACAAGTTGTTTTTCATAGGACAACGATTACGTGCACAAGTCTCATGTCAAGTTTTCGATGTTCTTGCTGCTACATTTGTACTCTTCTCCCATCCTTCCATATTTTGATCAACAATATCAAATGATATTCATGGATAATGAGACAACCATGGTAACCATCAAACTCATGAATCAAGATCTTGTAAGTTTGGATCGATTTGATGGAACAAACTTTACCCAATGACAAGACAAATTAAAGTTCATTCTAACGGCATTGAAAATCTTCTATATTTTTTTATTCGGACTTGGCACTACTATCAGAATCAATAGATTGGAGACTCAAATGCCGTATGCCAGGAGGGCAAATTAATTTGTAGGGGTCACATTCTCAATGCACTTTCAGACAAATTATAAGATTTTTCACCATCACAACTTCGGTGAAGAGATTTGGGATGCATTGGTAAATAAATACAAAATCAAGAAGGAATGTACGAAGAAAATCCTAATATCAAGGTATTTTGACTCTAAATTTCTAGAGAACATTTCCTACTTCTCAAAGTGCACGAATTACAAGAGCTTGTTAACAAATTGAAGGTGGTGAAAATAGAACTTCTGAAATCTTTCTAGGTGAGAACAATCATTGCAAAACTCCCAAGAATTTGGAAATGATATTGAAAAAAGATTCTTCATAGTTTCAAAAATTATTCTTTGCAACAAATTCAAAATATCTCTAGATTAAGGAAGAATCGGGTGCAAGAGATAAAAGTGAAAATTCTTATGTACGTAATTCAAAAGCTAATACTGTAGAAAAGATCGAGTCGTCTAATAAATAAAACAATAAAAAATCTTCTAACCAGGAAAACAAAAAGTTCAAGAAAAAGCCCAAAGATGATTGTTTCATGTATGGGAAACCTCAGACACTTTGTGCAAAAGATTGTCTATATTGAAAACAAAATAAAAATGGAGGCAATATAAACTCCATTGACAGAGATAATATTGTGATTACCGTGAGCAAAAATCAATACTATCAAGGGCAAAATTCTTGATTTGTGATATGATACATGTGCAACTATTCATTGATCATATGATAAGTCATTTTTCAAGATTTATCATGAGTTGAATGGTGAAAACGAAATAGAATTCGATAATGAAGGCCGCTCCAAGTGGTTGGGAAAGAAAATATTGATATTATGTTCACTTACAATAAAATAGTTACATTAACAAATATATTACAAGTTCCTACCATGAACAAAAACTTAGTGAGTGAAAATCTTTTGGGAAAATGAGCATCAAGAGTGTTTATGAATTCAAAAAACTTTTATATCCTGAAATGGAAAATTTGCTGGAAAATGGCTATTATTATGAAGAAATAGTCAAATTATGTACCATTAACAATATTAATAAAAAAAGACGTTGCTTGCTTGATTCTTTTATATTATAAGATGCTAGATTAGGTCACATGGGTGTTAGTACTATAAAAAGAATGCTCAAATATGACATGATTGCTTATAATGTGAATGACGCTTATAAATGTAAAACTTGTATAAAATCTAAAATGATAAATAAGCATCACCATAATGTGAATAGGATTTTACAAATT